TTGTTACAGAGATTGGGGTGCAGAGTAGCGGGCTGCGGCACAGCAACTCGAAGTTATGTTCGGGAGGCCACTAGACGATCTAGTGGATTGATCATTTTTCAACAACAACAAAAAGTTGCCTCCCATGAGACAACAAAAACACGCATGTGATTATCTTCGGATACTTCCTATCTAGAAAAGGTAGCACTTGCAAACTAACTGCTAATCTAAACTATGCATGCATGATTTTCAGATGTTATTTTTTTTGTCCAACATGAAAAAATAACCGTGTGGTGTGGGTCTTGATTTCTATGTCATAACTGGCAAACGCGCTTGCAGTTATTGACCCAACTGAGATGTGTGGCTTTGTCAAAAGTAATTTTCGGTACTTTCGCATTTCAAAAACAATGAAAAAAAAAATCACCTCCGAAAAAAAACTTTACCCGACCCAGAAACTTTACTCTCCATGAGAAAATGCGGATAACTAGAAATTGCAAACAAAAGAATATTCCGAGGGAAGAATGAATGATAAAGAAAGAAAAAAACACTCTGAAGAAAAAAAGAAATCGCAAGTTATAGGAAAACGCCCGTGTGAGAAAACATGGGAAAACGTTTGCTTTGCATTAATAATAGATGCTGTAAATAAACAATATATAGTTTGTGACCTACGAAAACGGTTTGAAAATCAAGACTATAACAGTTGCTTGGTCCCATATCAAATCCCCAAAGAAAAGACACATTTTGACAAAATAAGCCGACTATCTTCATGTATGCGTTCACTGGTCATCAAACAAATCCTCTCACAAAGAGATGATTCCCTCATCATATCCGTTACAAGGAGATTGTTACCCCAACACTCGATCATGATACCTTGTTCCATTGGGGATAAACCCCAACAAAAGGAACGGAACCTAATTTACTAGACAGCGCAAGAGGGAGTTTTGTTGTGGGGGGTAGACGGTGGGTCCACAACGGGTCCGATGTAATCACATGAAGGGGCACAATCACCGGTGATAATCACCTGACCGAGGAATGATCCTCGGTAGGTTACCCTGACGAGGACGTTGCCTTCTACACAGAGGATTTAGGTTTTAGTGTCTCCAAATTCCATTCAGTTATCAGGGAAAAAAATCTTTGTTTTGTGGCGTCGAATCCAGGTGTCAGGTCCCTTAACAAAAGAAGCAGTACAGTGGCTTGAGAAAACAACTTTGATTTGCGACTGTTAATTCTTGTTATTGGACAGAACTGCGACACAATCTAAATCGGAATTACTAGCGAGGGAGATTTGGTCTCTTGGGTGTAATAAGGACGCGGATCAGACCGGCTCATTAAAGACTTCTTTTTGATCCTCGTGGATTGGATCAATCTTTACGCGGAAAGATGACTAGAACTGTATCAACTGCAGGCAATGAATCCAACTTAACCCCCAAATGAATAATCGGTGCGAAGCTCTTTTGTATGAATCGAGACTAGCCCATTGTGAAGCGACATGAAGATTTCAGGAGAGAAAAAACGAAGAAGCTAAGTCAAGAAAACAGAGTCTATTTAACGGGATTTGCAGCAAATTCCAATGAGAAATATAAAACAAGTAGGGCCTAAATGAGGTGCCAAACTTCATAACAAACCAAATAAAATGTCACCAATAAAGAAGTGTGAAAAGAGTGTCAATTTGTGAAATATTTCAGTATAACATATCAAAATTCCATACACGTCACCACACTCTGGAGGAACAAACAAAACAAAAGAATACAAGAATGCATTTGGTTGAGGATCGAACAACCATCAGCTTTCCAAAACAAGCCTTCTCCACCACCCGACCACCGAGTTTATGCTGAATTTACAGGAAGTGTTTTTAATTAGGATGAAAACAATAACAGATTTTGTTCTTAATTAGCAGATTGATTGAAAGGTCGGTTTTAGGCTTCAATATAAATTTTAGAGGCGACTACAATCCAACCAAGAAAGAACTGACTTCCCAGACAACACACACGAGCGTTCCCAAGGGGATTCGAACCCAGGACACAAGATACTCGGAAGGAGAGAAAAAACTTGATGGCACTTCATCCGAACCCTGCTACAAAAACACCGACGGACCGAAAAGGGCTTATCCAAAAAGTTGCATCCCCGCAACCTTTCATGAAAATAACAGTAAACTAATGAAGTACAGCTGTATAATATGAAGCAAACGGATTCAGCATTTCAGCTTGAAATATAATATTTCGGTCCAAGGCAAGTACATTTTAAAAACCTCGTACCTTTTTGCTTTTTACAGCTTTATCCCACCAGTCTTCATGAAAAATATGTTTAAAAACTAAAGTGCCCAAAAGTCAAAATATTAAATGTACTTTCAATCTCCGTGAAAAGGGGAATTGAACCTTTTTTCAAATCCGTTACCGGTAAAAATTGTATACGTTACTCGATATTTCTTTTCTTATGATAAGGACATGGCAAAACAGTTAAACGGAATTCGCTACTCCGTCGAGAAGTAATCGTGAAACGAGGTCGCTTTGTTAATAACATTATATTTGTAAGTATAATGCAAATTTAACCAATATTTTGGATAAAAATAACATTACCGTAGTTATGAAATTTGCTTTCTTCATCAACTATTTCTGACCTGCATTAAAAAAGTTTTAAAAATCTGAAAAAATATGATGGAAAACAAATAAAAACACTGAAGACACGCAATCTGTCTGACATCAAATCGACATTCCTATTTTGTCGACATCAGTTTGATGTATTGATAATTACATGTACCCCCATCATCATTTTTCAGAGAAAACGTATGAGGCTCTGGTCATCAGACACGTTTATCTCATTTTTGTCGTGTCCAAAACAGTTCGTAAGGAATTACTTTTTGAATTTTTCAATGAGAATACATAGATATTTTCAATGCCGGAAGTCTGGTAGTGTGCGGACGTGACCAGATTGGGTCGTACTGACAAAAGTTCAAATGTTAAATATTCGAGTGATACAATGGAATCATGATTGATGGGAAACTAAATACATCTATTATTTTCTCATTTTGAAGTATGACCTCATGTTCGATCAAGTCAGAACGGTTATCGTAAACAAACCACCATTCTAGACGCCGAAATTTCGACAACTATTTGAAATCGACGATTCGTAAGAGAACTCAAATTTCTTCATTTTCCCATTCTCCGTCTTTCCTCTTAAAAGTGATAAAAAGGAATTTATTTCGGCCTTGTTTCAAGAGTTTTTTTTTCTGATTGGGCGGGCAATGTCTAGCTGTGACGTCATGGGCGGGTCAAGCTAAAATTGGGTATTATATGTAGGAATATGAGAGGTCTCAAAATTTAAAGTGGAACAAAAGTGTGGACAAATTTAGGTCAAATGGAGAGGTTACAATTACCCTTTTTTTACCAATGTTTTGCATGGTAACAAAATTCGATGATACACTGACAAAGTAATTTCATTTGAAGTGAGTCTTATTTTTTTCCTGAAAGTTGAATTCTGTAATATTGATTGGATACTGATTTGATGCAACAAGGATCCTGTAAGAGCCGGAAATATCATAAGCCCAATTCTGCTTAGTTCATGCGGTTTCAGACATAACCTTATTGCAAGTGGTTATACTTAAAGACACTACAAGATATTTTGTATCATTTTGTTGTATTACTACCTCAAAATTATTCCAAAATTATAGGGCCGTACCCTTTCCTCGGAATTGATTCTCTCTTATTTTTTGAGGGGCCACAATTTTTTCCGTATTTGTCGAGAAGGGACCGGCCATGTCTACAGGAATCAATCAGTATAATTGAACGAGAATTTTAACTCAAAGTTGGATCGTCATGTTCGGAGCCACCACTGACGGTATTTGTATATGAAGAGGCGCAATATGGCCCCCACAAATTGACCTGTCATCCCTAAGTCTCTCTATCGCCCTTTCAACCACTGGACGGACGTGCTTCCTTTTTGTAATTCCTTTTACAATAAGAAACCGCCCTCAAACAGGCATGTCTTTGCTGGCGTCGGTTGAAACTGGGAGGAAATCGATGTTTGACACGTTGCTGGTGTTTGCACGTCGTATGGAAATTTAGATATTAACCTTAGTCATGACTGGGATTTCCAAGAAGATAAAGCCTATCCAAAACTTCATTTTATTACTTAGAGGTCATTTGAATAAGAGCAAAAGATGAAGCGGCAATGTCATCTCTGACGCGTTGTGAACATAAATCCCGCCACAGAATAGCGCCAAAATATGGCTCCATTCCTTCATTGACATTTGCTCTTCCCAAACAACAGAAATATCTAACAAGAAATAATTAAATTTTATTGTAGTACGAATTAGAAAAAGTACGATTTCATAATTAAGTGACTAGAGAAAAAAAAAACACCCTGAAATGTTTGTTTACGAAAATAATTAAAGGAGGCATCCTAGGTTTGTAAGAAACGAATTACATCGATTATGCCTTACCATTTCCTAAGCACAATATAATTATTCTTGCTTGTTTAATACTTTACGACGGGAGAGTTCTGTTATAGATGGAAGCATTTTGGCAAAAATTTAAAGTTTTCTTGATAACGTTCAACAGAAAATGCAAAATCCACGCATTAAACTGTTTGAAGGACCACAGATTGTTTACAAAATATATAAACAAATAAAAAAAGGAACAAATTGTGTTTCACTAAAAATTGAAGAAGAAATGGATCCGAAACTCATGTCCGTAGTTTGTAACTTTGACCGCAAATCTATCATTTGACCTTCGCGGTGAAAGATTATATTTCACGAATCGGTCCTTCTATGTAATTTTTTTGTGGTTGCTGATTTCTCACTTTTTTCGGTATGGTTTGAGCTGCGGCGTCATTAAATTTATTTTGTTGTCTAGTTTTTGTACGCGACATTTCGTATTATGAAACCGAAACTAAGTTTAATTCAATTACCACACCTATTGATTTATGGATAGTTCATTTTGAAGTATCGCAGATACAGTCAAATTAAAAGCAAAATGTTTAAAAGTAACAGTGAAAGGGTACATTTAGTTTCTGACAGTTCTTACCGGGACTGGTACCGCCATGGTACTGATCGTAAGGCTTGTGTGTCTGGACGGCAACCCCGTTCATCGCATAGATAGCCCCGTCAGAAGTCTCGTAGTAAAGCCCCAATTCTTTAGCTTCGTTTTCCTCTTGTGCCTGTTGTCTCCTCAACGCTACCTGTGCCGCCATAACGCGTTGACGCTCGGCGATCAACGTGCACTTGGCACAAACGCAGTCCCGCCATCGGCAGTAGCGTTTGTGACCCTTGAGCGCCGAGACCACGCCGTGGTTTCGGCAGCGGGCGCATTTGGGAGTCCGTGGGTACGGTTTCTCGGTTCGGAGTAGCAGAGTTGGCGGATGGTGCTGATGGTGGTGTTGTAGGGAGGTGGGAGGGTGATGTACAGAGGCTGGCATGTCTGAGTTTTGTGGCTCGATGGATCCTCCTGATAGATTCATGGCATTTATACCCCAACCCCCAAAAATTTGAGTAAAAGATGTAGATTATCGATGAAATAACTCGTAAACTTCTACCACAAGCTTGTAACTTCCGATAGTTCATCAAGTTGGAGAAAAGAATGGCAACACAGTATATGACCGAGTCAGCACTGAGATCACAAGGGTCGCATGTGGCTCCAACCACGGTCACATGCTAACAGTCCAACACGGTCCTTGTTTAGTTGTCGTGTGAGTGATGTGAATTGCGGCCAGGCTTCTGCGTTGTGTGTTGTTAGTCACGGCTTGTACTCAAATTCGACTGGCCTGCCCCACGCCAACGGAACACCACACACTACGTGCGTACCGTACACGATGGACCGGCGTATCAACCGTGCGAGCCGGGGCTTGACTGACAGCCTGCGATCCGCCCCCCTTTGACGCTGTGCGGTTTATTTGTTTTGTCCAGTCGGGAACTAGACCTTCAATGATACAAGTATCGGCGACACCCGATTGGCCAAGACTGCACCTGGGGCACTCGTCAAGTGTGACGTCACTCCTTGTTTTGGAATAAACACGTCAATTATAAAGCGACATACTTTTTTCTAGGTGGTTTTTTTTTTGGCGGGGGGGGGGGGGGGGGTAGTTGATGATACCGGATCGGTTTCCCCATCAATATCTGACGGATAGCATGCCATTAAAATCTCGTTTTCTGAGGGAAAGTGTAATTTGTTATGGCGTAAAGTTGACATGGCAACCCCTTCAACAACTTGCCAACTAACGAGGAAACGGCGCGAAGAGATAAAACGCAGATAACGAAGGGAGAGCAAGCTAATGACTTTTTGGCGATGGGCAATCTGTCACGTATACCTGCTGTGTTATTGATAACGAGTTTGCAGGTATATAATGAATGCACATCAGTAAACACACTATGAAGCAGTGACATGAATGAAATATGGTGATCACTGTAGAAAAATACAATTATAACGAGACTGACTGTCAAGTTTGACAAAAAGGATAGTAATTCACATGTAAAGCTGAATGACACTAAATGCAAATACCAGATTGGATGACAGTTTACAGACATTATAGTGACATATATAATATTAATTTACATGGTTATGGAAATTGTTCCATTTGTCACGACATGGATGTTCCATAATTAAATACTGCACAGTGGCTCGACATGATCAGTCAGATAAACAAATGAGCTAACTACAACAGAAATACTAAGTAACTGCACAAAAAAGATCATGATGCGATCAACAGGTAGACAGACATACAGTGAGAGGGTTCAAATGACTGACTGACATTGTACATATTGAGGAAAAAGGGAACAATACCACCTTTCACTCTCTGTTGGCTTTTTTTGGGGGGGGGGGGCACCGGGTGGAAGGGGTGACAGTTTTGAGATATTTTCCTCCATGATTAACCTAAGAGTTGGTCTATGGAATATCCCCTTGCACAGCAAGGGTCTTCGATATGCGAGCAGATTAATTATGCAAAACAAGACTGCGTCTTGATCTCGAGATTCTGAACCATAAAAGTGGGTGCTTTCAATCGGGTCTTCCGTAACCCGTTGTTGTATTACAAAAACATTGCATCAAAATTAACCAATCCACACATAAATTCAGGTCATGATATACATGTAGACTGATAGCTCGCATATACAAAGTCAGCACCAAATCGAAATCAGGCCTTAAAAATTACTTGATAACGTCCGAGTCCTACACATCTTCAGGTGTTGGTCTAGGTGTATGCCAAATATAAAGGTTAACGGATTGATGTTAGTGCCCAAAGTGCTTTCCACGATGAAAACGTATACAAAATAATGATATGGGAAATGCCTGAAAAAGAAGGGGGACAAACGAAAACAAATATTGTTTCGGCAAGTTGCCGAAAGTTGTCGAAACAGCCAAAAAAAAACACCCCCCCCCCAAAAAAAAAACCCCCCAACAACAATAAAAAGATACTTGCTGGAAAATACTGGATCTGCGCTGTTTAATAGGTTGCTTTTCGACTCCCAAAATGAAACAGCAGGAGCGAAAATTAGGTGACGTCACGTGCGAAGGGTCTAACCCCTAAAATATTGGATATAGGACCGCGCCTGATTTTTAAGGTCTCATACCATCAACATTTCTCCATTGCAAGCCCACAGTCTGCTTAGGGCCAGGATTGCGATGCGTTGCATATTGTAGTGCGTTGTGTTGCGTTGCAGTGTGTGTTGTGTTGCGTTGCAATGCGTTGCGTTACGTCTCGTTGCGTTACAATGCGTTGTGTCGTGTAATGTTGTCACGTGTTGTGTTCTGAAATAATCGACTTGCGTTGTGTTGTGTTGCGCCCAGTGATTGGATTGTTTGTGCTTGACTTTTGTCTTGACAAATTGAAGCTCAGTTTCTTATTACTTGATTTTTTAGCAACAATCTGATCAACACTGGATAACGTATACACGATACTTGTCAATACTTATCTTGCTATATTTCCCATGAAAACAGTAAACACAATATAGACCTTGATTGCAATAATGTACTGTCACGCAGCACCACGAGCCTTGCTTTGCCACCCCCGAGTAATTCACGCTCTATGACACCTTCAAGTAGGAATTGTTTCATTCAATGATGATCAACCCTAATGGGACCCCCTCACCAATTAGATAGATACCTCTCACAAACACCTGTGCCTTAAGAGACGCCACCTTTTTGATCTAAGGCTCCGGCTTTTGTGATCCAAACCTTTTGATAGTATCAAAATAAGAAACTTGCCTGCACGGATAGTGTTGTTTTCACCTGATGCATCAAAACATCTCCACCATAAGGGCGGAATATAACCTCCCAGCAGAGCTGAGTGGTGAAAAGATTAGTTTCAGTGGATTCAAACTGAATGTCCCAAGGCCTAATATTTGACTTGGTGGCAGTTTTGGTGAAAGTAAGGAACGAATTGGCAAATGATGTTTTACAAACGTGAAATATTTAATAATTTTATTCTTGTGGTAAATTGCATTATCCTAAAATATCTCTGGTTGAAAGACGACCAACGATTGGCAGCAACTTAGAAATTGACTGGTTCAGAGTTTACAAACAATATCCATTTTCTTGATAATCTTAGATATCTTTCTAAAAATGGATTCATGAAAATTTAATTACGTTATCTTTTGTTAAAAAAAAACTTACAAAAGAATTTAGTCATATGTTTGTAGTTTTTTGAGACTCAAGGCGTTTGGTGAACATTGTTTTGTTACAAAACGTTCAAAAAACCACCCCTCCAAAAATAATAATAATAGTAATAAAAATAATAACAAATGCAACAAAAAAGTGGCCCTTTCCCATCACTCTGAAAAAAATAAAATCTGGAAAAAAGAAGAAAAATCTTGAAAACTCAATCTCTTCGATTTTCATCCTTTAAACGTTTGTTTCTACTGTAGTGGCTTCTACGTTTTTGTTTCTCCTTTAGAGAAAAAAACCTGGTTCTTCCTGTCAATCTAGTGAAGTTCTTTTTCTAAACGGGTATCTGTTTTTTGTCTGACAGTAGCTGCTTTGGGTTGCATTTTGTCAACAGGCTTTATCCAAAGGTGTCGGCCGACAGTAAAAGCAGGGTGCCGGCTCGTTGGACCGTGGGGGTCGGCAATGTGCCTGAAAGGCGGGTGTGTTGGGGCATGTAGCCAGCCAACAAACACCTAATCATTGGCCATTTTTTCAAGACACGTCCGTTTGTTGCTTGTTTGCTATTGATCTTTTGTCTGGTTGTTTGGTTGTTTGGTTGTTTGGATGATCATGATTGTGGTGTATATGAGAAGTCAACGGGGTGATTACGTATCTTCATAGGGCAGTATATAGTCTGGTTGACTTGAGACGTTTGAGATTTGAAGGCTTTACCTGCATTTCACACCGAATTACGAGAGAATTACGATTTGGGCAAGTAAACAATTTTTCTGCATCTGATTTGTTTGAAATTTCCTGAACGTCTTCAAAAAAGATACGACGACTATTTCTCACTTCAATCAAAAGGTATCGGACTACGAAATGTGTCTTTTGAGGTCCCAATTTCTTTTTCTTTTATTTATTAAAATCAAAGTCACCGTCGGTAGATTGAAAAATCCCAAGATTAATGAGAGATATATGATGATATGAAAGTAACATCCATCGATCACAAGGTTCACCTTTTTGAGCGATTCCTCCAGGAGAACTTTTTTCTGTGGTAAATTTCTTTTCGTCAAGACGTGATTTGGACTTGGAGGCCTCGCGGCCGGCAGACAATCAAATCGTCAGCCTCTTCAGTTGGCGGAAATTTCACTTTGCCGTTTTCACTTTGCTGTTATACTCATTGGCTGCAGTCGTTTACCATTATTGCATTTGGAGAAAAGACAAAAAAGGTGAGCGAAGGAAATTAGTTTTTGTCAAAAGCAAGGAAGGCTCTAAAAAGCATTCTGATGTAATTGTCGCGGCCCGTAACTTAGTTTTTCAGTGTCGCAAAAACTCAAAGCCTACTTTCGTCAAAGTGCTCGTTAGCGCCGCCTCAGCTCACGCGTGCTCCCAATTCTCGCGGGAATTAAAGAGACTTGGTCACTCACGTAGGTTGCAGATACGAGTAGACGAGCATACTGTGCTACATGGTATATCAAGGGAAGTATGTACGGATTGGAAAACATGCAGCTGAAGCATTCACATCCTCAAACTTACATCATATAATAATTCAATTAAATATTAATACATTATTAATAATGTGGGGCAATATTTCCGAAATTAAGCGAGTATGGTGAGTCAATCAAATTTATATCGCGCTATAAAGCTTTTTTTTAAGTTTCCTTTCAAACTGAATAACCGCATGTAAACTATTCTACTCGTTACCTTATATTTTCCTTAGTGTCTTATTTAGTGCTATGAAATAATTAAGTTGATTATTTTTCAGACATTTTAATGTTATTTCTACCATCCCCTAAAACTAATGGAGGACCTGTTTAGAACCGCGACACCAGCAAATTCTTGACAACCATAGCTCCTTTCCTTACAGCCACCTGCTGAAGGAAGGAGACTTACGGTATCCTGTTAGCGTCCATTAAATAAGTATAAAGAGGCAAAGAATGTAACTCATAGTGTGACTGTCACAAAAGTTTACAAAATGGACCACCCTGAACCACCCCGTGATGAAGTCAGTCATGGGGGTACCAATGCATTGCATTAATTACAGTCGGAGGTGGGACGAAAACACTCAACGCAAGCCTGTATCATCCGCCGTCTCCGCTGGACAATGAGCAGGTACTTGAGATGGAGAATACGGTGGAGTCAACAGTCGTCTTTGCTGGTGGACGGGGGGCCAGGGGGGACCTTCCACTGGCGGCATTTTGCCCTTTCACAAGTTTCACAACCAGTAGGCACACTATATAGCGT